TGCTGTTGGGCCCACCCACTGAGATATTTATTTCAGTTATTACATTTTTCTGTTTTAAAATTTCCACTTGGGTCTTCTCTACATATCTGTTTCTTTGTTGAGGCTTTCTATTTTCTCATTTGTTTCAAGGTTATGTGTTAATTGCTCACTGAAACATTTTTATCATTGTGGCTTTTAACTCTGTCCGGTAATTCTAACACCTCTGTCATCTTGGTGTTGGCAACTATTGATAGTGTTTTTTCATTCACCTGGAGATCTCACATTTCTGTGTAAGTTGAGTGATTTTCAACTGACACTGGGCATCATTACTGGACTTCAGATCTTACTTAAAACTTCTGTTTCGATTGGCCTTTTTATGACACCACTCCATCAGAGGAAGGTGGAGGTAGAAGCCTAGGTTCCCCTACTTAATCCCCATTAACACCGAAGGGTAGAAGTGCTCCTTATGACCGCTGGGCAGTATGGGAATTCAAATTTCCCACCTTGTTTCCACTGACACTGCAGTGGGTAGGTGGTGGCCTCATGACTGTGGGTGATAGTGACAGTTCTGACTCTCCACTAGGTATCCTCCAACACCACCTCAGCAGGGAGGGGAAGGGCTGCTTCATTAGTGCTGGGTGAGAGTGAAAGTCAAGACACTGTTGGGGTTCACCCTTATACTACATGGGTAAAGGAGCTCATGACCAGCTGAGGGATAAAGGTTCCAACTCCCGAATAGGTTTATACTACCCTAGCACAGGTGTTGGGACACCTGGGACCCCTATAGACTAGGCTACCCACTCAGCTTTGCCGACATGGTTGGGAGAGGGGCCACATTTTTTTCTGTGTTGTTTGGATGAAGTAGGGCAGTTACTGTCTAAAACATTTGTTTGCTAGGGAGAGCAGCCTTTTGTTAGGGGTTTTTGTTTGTCTGCACTCATTGGGCTTGCCAGCTTCTTCAGCTCCAAGTCTGGGATGTATAAGGTAAAAAGAAAACCCAGGGAATTCACTACCACGTCACTCCTCAAGTACTGAGGTCCCAACTGGTCTGCCTTTTTTCCTCCATCTCTCAGAGTCTTCTTGTTTATTTACCTTTAATATATTCTGTCCAGTTTTACTTAGAAAAAGAGAGAAAAATGTATCTACTCCAACTTCCCAGAAGTGGAAGTCCTGCCTAGCACTTTTAAAAGGCCATATCTGACCATGTGATCTCCTGGATAAAACCCTTCAGTGGCTTCCAATCGCTAAGGATAAAGACTAGAACCCTTTGCATGGCTCTGTCGGACAGCCTTGCATGACCCGCTCCCTACCAGGGATAAATATTTAACAACCAACTCTGGAGCTGGGGGGTGGGGGGTGGGGGGTGGAGGCAGGTAGGGGGGAATCCTGATTTGTAGCATTCGCTGATTTCCATGGTGTAAATGCTATTATTAGGGCCAATTTTAAACTACCGACATGATATTGCTAAATATGGAAGAGATGCTAACAATTGGCTCCTGCATATCATTGAAGACTCATTTCTATAACTCTTTCTCTTTATACTCCAGGTATTCCAAGCACTAGACATTCCCCAGCTTCTAGCCCCTCCTACACAGTTGGCTCTACCTGGAATGCCATTCTTCCACATCTCTCAGTGTGTGAGTGCTGGAGCCAGCTGGAGGCAGCTTACAAGAGCAATTGTTTAACTTTCAGGAATTTTGAAATCTGGCTGCTAAAACTACAAATCAGGACTAAAAAAAATAAAATAAAATAAAGCATTCATCAGCATACTACTGTATCCACTCCTCTTTGTCTGGCTCATCCTTCAACCTCCAACCATTGTTTCTATGACGAGGACTTCCTCCTACTCTCTGGACTTACTTTCTATCAATACTTCAAAGCATCCTGCACTTCTCTTTCCTCAAATTCACTGGAATTGTCTGTCATTAATTGACAATTACACCCTAAGTTGAATGATGAAAGGGGCCTTTTGCAAATTCTTAAAATATCAGAAGCCTTTTTATCTAGACCCGCATGGTGTAGTTGACACATAGTATGTTCTGTAGCAATTTCAAAATAATTATTGAATGAAGGGATGGCTGTAAGGAATAGAACTAAAGTAAAATTATAACCTATTGCATTGTAACCTGTGTGAAATTATAAAGGATAAGAATCTGTGTGAAACCCACAATACATTTTCTTAGGTTTATGCAGCAGAATCTAGTCTACATACTGCCATGGCCAATCAACACAGCAAGACAAATCTTCTAAAGACAGATAGCACATGAGGTTTTCAGAGCTTAATGGAACCACCCCTAAAATCATTCATCTCTCCACTGTAGCTTAGAAATTGCTGCTGCATCCTCTCTTGCATCCCTGCAATGCCTTCTTTTTCTTCACAAAGCTCAAAAACTAAAAATTTTTAAGATTATGTCACTGTTAGTCCTCCCCTCTAGTTTACTCTTCCAGTATCTTCCCCTAACATCTGCAATAAAATCCCTGATCTGGGGGCCTGCCTGCCTGTCCGACATCTCTTACCACACTCCCTTTACTCAATAAGTTTCAAATTTATTCATTCAACATATACTGAGCACCTGCAATGTACCAGACACTGTTCCAGGGGTTTGGGTTACCAAAGGTAAGGACACATGAAAAGCAATAAACCTAATAAATGATTCAAGTGAAAAATATGATAGAAGGTACATGTAGCATTTTTTTAAAAGAAGAACTGCATAGTAAAACTAATGGGTAGCAGATTATGCAGAGCCTTTTAAGCCAGAGTAAGGACTGTAGCTTAAATATCACTCTGCGCAGAGGCCTCATCACCCAAATTAATGTTACTTCCATCTCCCCTCACTCTCATTACCTTGTTTTGTATTCTTCATAGCATTTAGTGATACCAGAGATTTTCTAATGAATTTATTCATTGACTTGTGCAATTGCTTCCCTACCAGGCGTTTGACTCCTTAATCATTGTCTCTCTCCTATTTATGAGGGGGACCCCTCCCCACAAGAAAAGAACACGGAATTATCTTCTGGAGAGCAGGCCCATTGTAGAACAGGGTTCCCCTGCTTGGTGTGTATTCTAAGAATCCATCTGTATCAGTGTACCAGCTGGCGTTACCTTAAGAGGCTGCGCTCGACTTCAGTGAAATTTTTTGAAGACTCTTTCAGTGCATTTGCCCATTTCATGATGGGTGATTTACAAGGGCACCTGCCCACACCGTGCTGAGTGTTTAGCAGTTTTTGATCAAAAACAGCATAACCCCTGTGCCCCACTCTCCTTATTCACTAGACCTCACCCCAGTAACTTAAATTTGTTTCCCCAGATGAAAAAAGTGCTCAAAGAGAAACATTTGCTGATGTGGAAGAGGTGAAACAGAAACGGCAGAAGCACTTAAAGGCCTCACAGTTGACAAGTTCAAAAACTTTTGAGCAGTAGAAAAAAAAAAAGGAGTACTGCATCGAATGGAGAGTACCTTGCAGTGACTGAAGTTTAAACATGTAAGAATACACAATTTTTTATAAATAAATAAAGGTTTTGTTGTTGTTGTTCCCTTCGTGTAACAGCACTTGGAACATACTCAATGAATTTGTTGAATGAAGGTTAAACATGCCTCCAATATCCTAATTTACTAAGGATTTCTAGTCTTTATATAGGGGCGTGTAGGAACACAATAAATAGATGATGGGAATCTTAATGTAATCATTAATAAAACGAGCTAAGAAAAACTTTGTAGCGTTCCCGTAATGTTTTCTCTTTCCAAGTCTGGTTAAATTTGTAATGTTTTCAGGAATTTGTTGTTCCTGTTTACAACTAAGAACAACGCCAAATGGAGCCAACACACTCCATTGCTATCCAATTTTCTTTTAAGAGAAAAATATGAGAGCCCTGGCCGGGAGGCTCAGTTGATTGGACTAAGGACCAGCTCACCAAAAGGTTTTTGGGTGGATCTGGTCAGGGAACACACCTCGGTTGCAGATTCGACCCACTGTCAAGCCACGCAAGGGAGGGAGGCAACCGATGTTTTTCTCCCTCTCTCCCCGCACCCTTCTCTAAAATCAAATTAAAGACAGAGAGAACATAGGAGATTTCAAATAAGCCAAAAAGCCCCTGTACTTTATGTAACCCTCAGACCAGACCCCCTTTTCCATCTTTAACCTTGGCTGGGAAGGAATGAGCAGTAAGAATAGCTGAATGCCGCACACAAATTCAAGAAGTACTGCAACCAAAGATATGAATGGCTATGGCTCAAGGAGCGGAAAGAGGGCCGAAATTAGGGAGAAAGAACCCCACAGATGACCAACTAAGGAGCGGGAAACGTGTGCTTAAGTGCGTGGAGTTGACAACGTAGTCCTTAACCAAAGTCCACTCTAGGGCAGCTGGAGATGGCATCTCCCAGGCTCCAGAGCTTCCTTCCTCCTGCCAGTTATTTCAGGTGGGCAAGAAGGCGGGGCTGGAGAATTCGTGCTCAGTTCGGCCCTTGGGGGAGGTTCGGTAGCTCCTTCCTCTCCGTCAAATCCTGGGCATTTCCCAAATTGGGCTCAGGAATCCAAACGGTGCCTGGGCTCCAGCTCTCCCTGGCCTCAGGCCCGGCACGGAAGCCGCTCAGGATTTGCGAACATCCAGGGAGCAGACTGGGGTTCGGGCAGCAAAAGGGAGGACGCCAGCCTCGCCCTGTCCTCGGCGGAACGGGGCGGAAAACCTGCCGGCAGGAGAGGGGCGCAGCGGCCGGGAAAGTGGGGCGTGGCCAGGGCCTCAGGTCGCGCCCTGGCGGAGGAAGCAGCCGCCGCCCCAGCTGAGGCAGTGTGGCCGGGGGCTTCCCGCAGGAGGGCGACGAGAGCGAGTCCTTCCGAGCTTTACTCTCCGGCTCGTTCACTATCCCAGCCCCGCCCAGCCCCGCCCCAGCCGCTCGGGCCACCGTCTCCTCCCCAGACGACACAGGAGGGGCGAAACCTCTGTCAGCGCCTTTAAGAGGCGTGGCAACGTGCTCCGCCCCCCACCCACTCCTCGCGCGCCAGTAAGGGGTGGGGTGCCGAAGGACGCGCCGGGTCCGGAGTGCGAACTAGGAGTGCGCTGGTGCGCAGGCGCAGTGGACGGACAGCAGATCGTGTATTTCCAAAATGGCGGCAGCGATGGATGTGGATACCCCGAGCGGCACCAACAGCGGCGCGGGCAAGAAGCGCTTTGAAGTGAAAAAGGTTGGGTCTCGCCAGCGCCTTCCTCAGGGAAGCTAGGGAGGCTCGGATCTGGCTGGCAGGCCCGAGGATGACCGAGGCGCGTGGGAAAGGGCTTCATTTCAGGGCGTTCCTGAGACCGGGTACCACGCAAGGAAGCCGGGGGGCGTGTCTTAGGGTTGATTGGCATGAGCGTGACCCACTGTTAATGGCAGCATTGGTTTCACTAAGAGGAGGAAGGGCCAATCACGGAGGTTCTTATTGAGATACGCGGGATTGCGACTGGGCTACGGGAGCCAAGCGGCTGAGCTGTCACTGAAGAGTTTGGCGGAGGGCGGGGGGGCGGGGGGGTGGTGGTGAAGAGGGAGTCGGAGCGATGCGGAGGGTGGAGGATGGGGCAGTGCGGCGAAAGCCGGGAACCTGAAGTCCTACCGCATTGGAGGCCTCCGAGGATCCCGGTGCATCTCCCTGCCCCGCCTCTTTCTGAAGTTTGGGGTCCCTCTGACCCTGAGGGGTCGATACCCGATCCTCGCCTAATTAAGGCGTCCATTTCCATTAGCTCCTTCTCTGTCCCGAGCCCCGCCGAGTAAGCGTCTTGAGTGTAACTCTTGGCGCATATAAGAGGTCTGTTGATTTGTCACACAAGCCGTCCCCGTCATATCATATCCAGAATCCCCCCTCAAAAAAAAAAAAGCGTGGTGTAATTTGTTAAAAAGAAAATGCGAGCCCAAATCTTGATTCTTTTAAGGGAGGATTCAGTACTAGTTGCTTACGACCTGCTAAAAGTGGGGAAGCAAAAAAATGTGGAACGTCTCCTTTAGCATGAAATGCCTTAAAGTAGTTTACAGCAGTTTGGGAGAAAAGTGCCGATTCCCTCGCAAGATAAAATAAATCTGTTCAAAATGAAGATTTGAAGTAGGGACGGTGTTATTCCTGGAACATCTGGCTAAACACAATATTCACCCTCCTAGTTGCTTTTTTGGCGTTTCATTGTGGGCATTGCGTGCTCAGTTAAGGCCAGCAGCCATATTGAAAAATAATAGAAGTAGGATTTTTTTCCTTCAAGTTGAAGCTGTCGAATGAAAAGTGCTGAAGAAGTTGTTTGGAAGAGATGACAGTTTGGGAGGGGACCAAACTGGGGTGGGGGGAGTTTGGGAATATTTATAATTACGGAAGGCAGGAGATTGAATTATTTAAATGCTACTTTTAGATAAATTCTTACTGGAGTTATCTTAACTATATGTAAGAGGCTGAGTATGAAAAGTTGAGAACATCAGATTTTTTTGATGGTAGGAACCAAACAAAATTCTGGTGAATTCTAGAGTTTGTTTTGAAGCAATATTGTATGATTTAAATAATGATCTTGTTCTGGGTTCTGACACTGGGTAATTAGTTATCCAGGTCACCCCACGATTACCCATTTTGTGATCCAGTCATCATTTTAGTTCATTTTGTTCCTAGTTTTCACCTCCGCACTCATGCATCCAAAGCTACCTGGAAGAGCAGATACTTACTGATGCAGAAATTGAGCTCTTCTGCAACTGCCAGGGGAACCTGCACAGTATTTCAGCTGTGTTTATTAAACTTGAAGCAGGCATTTAAAAATGATTCCTGATTTCCTGACGTTGATATGGCCGACCAAATTATTTTAAGCTTGTAGGAAAAAAAGTAAAATTAAAAGATGGCTTATTAATTTGTGTTCCTATACCCAACCCTTTGAAGAATGGGTGAGTGTATGTGTAGCTTACTGTTGCCATCTGATAATAAGAATAAAGGAATATCCAAAAACTATTATTTGGTGGTCCTTGTGGCCAAAGAGATGATAACTGCAGTTGCAGTGTGAAATGCTAGAGGGTGTGTATGTGTATCACAAGGAGAATGTATTGTCCCCCCCTTTTTCTCTTTGCAGTGGAATGCAGTAGCCCTGTGGGCCTGGGATATTGTGGTTGATAACTGTGCCATCTGCAGGAACCACATTATGGATCTTTGTAAGTAATTGGAGGAGGATGGGAGGGAAATTCAGAAGGTTACAGAGACTGCAGCTATCCTGATGTGACCAGTATCATTCTTCCCAAGGAAATACAAAGCGAAGTCAGCACTGGGGTCTTCTGCATCTAGTCCATTGGTATGTTTGAAATAAGAGTAGCTTTTTATGGTGTTCTGGAGGCATACCCATCTCAGAATAAATCTACTCAGCCTAAAAATGGCAGGGCCACATTTAGAATGAATTGTGGACCCAGAGGCACTGTTGATCCCTCTATATTTTTCATCTCATATGCAGACACAAAGGTGAAAGGAGGAAAGTAAACTTTGAGCTAAAATGATATTCTATCAGAGCTAGTTTTTGCCAGGAAAGATTTACAAAAAAAAAAGAAGCCTACGAAGTAAGGATTTTCAGTGTTAGTCCCAAACACAGTTAAGAGGATATCAGTGGCAACATCTAAATAGGCAACATCTAAATAGTTAACTGCACTAAAGAAATTTCATTTGTATATTTACATATTCTGCTCTACATGGTGGACTTGATTATAGCTCTTGATGGACGGACTTAGTAATCTTATAGCAATAAGGACAAGAATGTTGACCACACCAGGAAGAGTTGAGATTACTTTTTCATCCAGGTGCTAAAATGGTTTATTATTGAGATCAGAAGTGGGGCAAAGAAATTTCAACTTCCCAGAATTGAAATTATAGGCACTTATTTTTTAAGTCACTCACCTGCCTCTCCAACTTTAAGTCACTCACTTGCTCACTCTAGTAGTTTCTCTGGCTTGTCATTCTTGGTCTTTTTTAGAGCCCTTGCATATCCCCTTCTTTCTGCCCAGAATATTCTCTGCCTCTTCTCCCTGCTGCTTTGGTCTAACCCAGCATTATCGAGTCTAAATGTGAGCCACAAATGCAGGCACACATATAACTTAAAATTTACTAGTACTCACATTAAAAAAGTAAAAAGAAAGAGATGACTTGTATTTTATCTGATCTACTGTATCCAAACTATATTAATTTTAACATGTAATCAATATAGATGAGATATTTTATGTTTGTTTGGTTTTTTTTTTTTTTTTGGTACTAACCGTTTGAAGTGTATTTTACACTTACGGCTAGTCTAATCTTAATTCAGACTAGCCAATATCAAGTGCTCAATAGTGACACGTGGCTAGTGGCTACTTCATTGAGTAACGCAGAACTAATATAATTCGTCTTCATAACTCACCACGGACTTGCTCAAAGATGTTTTCACTGACCATACTTACATACACACAAAGTCTATGACAGTTCTGTCAGTATTCCCAAGACATACTATAGTTTCTTTTGTAGCAACCATTTAATTTAATTGGTGTACTATCATGTCTATGTGATTTATTACCATATTCCCAGCATCTAGCATAGAGTCTGGTACATTATAGGTTCTCACTAAATATTTGCTCAGTGAATAATACATACAAAATTGGATAATAGTTTGTGATCATTGTGGTTTGGGAAGCACAAATCAAATATTTTGTGCTGGAAAGCAATCATGGCAGGTGTTGGTAGCTTATTGCCCTTGGCTTCTTTGAGTTTTGACCCTGTTTATCTTTTCACACAACGGGCAAAGCAGATCAGCAGCTACTGTAATGTTTGATATAGACAGAAGGAACTCATCACAGAAAAACACATGCACACTTTAAAATGTGTTTGGGTGGGGTGTTTGATTACATGCTTGTCAATCTCTTTGCCATGTATTTTTACAGGGAGTTGCGCCCACAGAAAATTTTACTTTCTTGGGGCTCTCTTCTGTAAATAGTTAATGATTTTATATAACCCTAATTTTACTTTTTACCTCTATAAGTTGTTGTGTGTCTCTCTGGATGGAAGAGAATGCACTTCTTGGGAAAACCATGACAGACAAAGGCCATTGATGTCCTGTCTTCTCTTAGAGTTGATCACTCAAGGGATCAATGTAGGCTTCAGTTAGACACCTACCCTATGGCATATTTTATTCTTATTTATTTACTTATCATATCTTTAAATGTCAGTGAAGAAGTAGAACACTGAACTCCTATAACAAAAATTATGAAAGTATTTTTAGGTTGTATCTTTTATTCATTCAATAAATACTTATATCCTGGGCCTTTTGCTAGGCACCAGAATAAAACTAACTGAGATTAAGTCTCTATCCTTAAGAAACATATTCTTTTGTTTAATACAGACACTAAAGAGAAATCCGATTGCCACAACTGGCCTTGTCTTTCAAAAATAAATAGAATATGATTCTTGAAAAAGATATTGTTAAGGATGAAAATAAGAATTTTGGTTTAGCAATGGCCATTTTCTAAAATATTCTGATCTAGCATTATATGAATAATTATATACATAGCTGTAAATAAATAAGAGTGGTATGACTGTGCCCCAGTTGGACTGTCCTACAAAGTATTCTTGGTCTGAAGACTTTTTTTGAATCCAAATTGATACTACATACTCGTATTTAATTGATACCACAGCTTCGTATTTATTTTATATTGCCCCATTTCTTGGTATTTTATAGAGTTGCTGAAATACACAATCTACTAAGGGTTATTTTCTCCATTACCCCGGGTAATCTAATTCCAGATGAAGAGGGCATCCGGAAAGGCTTAGACCCAGCCTTTATCCAGAAGAAGTTACTCTCTTCCTAAAACCAGTTTCATCAGTGTTTTCAAAGTGTGAAATCTGTTCACTTCCGCGATGAATCCATTGCTTCCTTAGCAGCATTGAAGTTTAAAAGTCCCCAAGTGTTGTATAGCACATGAAATAAGCTTCTGCCTTTGCTAGGGTTGTGATGGGAGCCTGTGACCTGCTGCTTGTGTGTCTGCTCTAGGTTGACTGTCCCTGTTGTCCCTGTTTAAACTAATGATTTACTCTCTGCACCAAAAGCTTGAAGACACTTTATTTGAGAACATTTTATACTTGTATTTAGTAATTTTTCATGCTCTTTTATCTGGCATTCTAGATTGCAGTCCTGTTCCTCCTATATGTTTTTGTTCTTTGTTAGAGATTTTCTAATAATGAATAAATACACATTTTGTTCCCCATTCTCTCTGTTTATAGAAGTGGTTTTTGTTTGCATATTCAGTTACTGAGAGCCTGCTTTGCATTTGGCACAGAAAGACAGCCCTTTAAAAATATCTAGACCTAGAAAAATGATATACATGATAATGTACCTTGAAAAAGTTTTGTTACTTCAATAATTGTGCCTTTTATTTAACTAATTTCGTAATAAATAGTTTTCATGTAAGTGGGAGAATCCAACCTGAAGGACATCAGAATTTATTTTTTCAGCCATCCCTTTATATGGAAATGCCTTCACAAGCCCAATAAATTCTTGAATATACTATCCAGTATAGTAGTATCCAGTAGAATACTAGAATATCCAGTAGAATACTTGAATATCCAGTAGACCCTGGATCTCCACTTTTATCAGAAAGAAAAAGTTATTCTCTTTGTAATGTGAATCTGCATAGCAAAAGCAAGTTCTGAGATTTCAGATTTCTTTGCTTTTCATATTTTCAGAGGGCGAGGAAAGAACCCTTATTAGAGTAAAACTCTTCCCCTAAGACTATTAACATCTCAGCATTATTTTCTTACAGTTTTACTATTTTCCACCTATAGAAATTTGAAGTAATTGTCTACTATTAAATAGTCTTTCCTGGAGATTTTTCTTCTTCAGAGGGGAGACTCCATTTAGTTACCACCTTCAGAGAAAATAAAGCATACATTGGTAATACTTGTCCTTGTTTATCCTTAGTAGAGCTTTACTCATCATTTCTGGATCTCAGGTTCTCATTCTTTTTAGGTTCCCTTGTCTTTCCTCTCTATGAAATTGATATTGTATACATGCATTCTCAGTGATTTATTCTCTATACTCCAGGGAATCACCTCAGGGGTTGTACGCATCACTAATTGGCAGGCCCCAGAGCTCTAACCCATTGGCCTAACAGATTTGCTTTCTTGGCAGTGCTTTAAAGACTTGAGATTTGATGTCTTTGTGGAGGGCGTACCTCATTTCTTTCCCAGTTCACATGTGTCCACCCGACCCCTTTAGGCTTTGGAGCTTCACAGAGGCAAGCCTGGGTGTTTGGAGGGCCTACGAGGAAGTATTAGCACAGAATAGGGAAAAGATGCCAGTTCCCAGGATAGTGTGTTACGAAGTGACTAAGACTTTACAAAATTTACCAAGTTAGGAGGAATCACTTTCATTTGGACAAGCCAGGTTATGTTCAGAATTAAAAAGTGCCTTTTCCTTCATTACTCCATTCTTAAACAAGGGTAGGAAATCGTAGCAAAGCATACTGTTAAGTCACATCTCTGCCTTGTCTGTTCTTAACCCTTTTTCACATTCATTAAAAAAGTTATGACTAGTTAATCACTGGAGATTTTGTGGAGGTCACCCCGCTGCCCCCTCACGCATGCCTCTGGGTAACCATGCAGGTAGGACTGCTATAGATCGAAAAGTTGCTGCTCCTGCAGGCTGTGATCTTGTTGCTCTTGTTCCCACAGGCATAGAATGTCAGGCTAACCAGGCGTCTGCCACTTCTGAAGAGTGCACCGTTGCGTGGGGAGTCTGTAATGTAAGGAAATGTCTTTCCCTATCAGCATGGCTTGTAAAAATGCGTTACCACTTTTCCTGATTTGCCTATCTTGAAACATAACTAGAAAAAACAATGACTAGCCCATCTTTCTCCCAGAATGTATACAAATAGAGTAAAAAAAAAAGATATTAAATCTTTGTACTGTTCACCTGTTACAAGGTAAAAATTGTTGTCTCAGAGGCACTAGTTTGTCTTAACTACATAGTGGGCCCACTTTTGTTAGCAACATTTTGGGGATTCATCTTTGGGAATTGCTTTCAAAGCCTGTAGCACAGGTTTTGGAATATTCCTCTGTTGGTGGAAACCTTTACCTTCGTAACAGCTTTTTGTAAGGGTAGGTGTCCTCTGGAACTAAGTTTGGTAGATAAACTGAGTGAGTGTGTGTGCGCGTGCGCACACGCGCGTGAGCATGCACGTGCATTTTAAGTGTGGCAAATGTACAAAGTTCGGATTTGGGGGATTTTTTTTTTTAACACGGCTCATGCCAGAAATGTTCTGTGCAGCATCGTTGGACTGAATGCACAGCCTCCCAGGGTGCGACAGCTGTGAAGGATAACGCACATCAAATATGTTATTTCTAGCATGTGTGAAAAATTCATCCTTGTAGCCATATAGCCCCAGTCAGATGAGCTAAAATTGTCCTGTGTGGATCTCCTGTGCCAAGGGGCAGAGGACCCACAGACCCCTGCGTGGCACAGGCCTAAGAGACTTGGCATCCGTGTGACTTGACTGGCTAAGGGCCTTGGCGCAGATATTTTACATCTCTCAGCCTGGGTTCTCTCATGTAAATAGGGCTAACAGACTGCATAGAATTTAATCAAGAATGAAGTGATTTTATCTTCAGAGTGCTTAGAACACCTCCTTGCACTTAGTACGCATAAGTGTTTGACAGATGAACACAAATTTGGGTGGTGGCGGTTACTGAAGAGGGTAGCTGTCGGAACTTGGGGCTCACCCCGCCTTGTGGTGGCTCTCTCAGTTCTGCCAGAGGCCCTCGGAGCAGTTCATAGAAGCCTGTACTGGTTAAGGGACGGCGTTTGTCGTTTATGGGGATGAAGAAATATATCGGGCTCTTTGCTCTCCTTGGCATTAAGGCATATACTTAGAACCCTGTTACCCTTTGGTGGAAGGAAAAGGGACTGGGCACCCCCTAAATTTTGCTGAGAGACCAACTCTGAGAGCCTGCCATGAAGAGGAGGCAGCATGGTATGGCAGAAGCCTTTGGACTAGTCCTGGGTTCTAGGTCTGGGCCTTTTACTAACCAGCTCCGTGAAATAGGCAGGTCACTTGACTTGTCTGGGTTTCAGTTTCCTGTCTATAAAATGAAGATAATACTTCATGCTTGCTTGCCAGGGTTTCTGTCAAGCTCAAATGACAGAATACACGTTAATATCTTCTGTAAACTGTAAAGCACTGATCCGTGTACTTTGGGACCGCTCAACATACCGATAACATGTTAGATTATTAAAGGAGAAATTTGGGATCAGAAACCGTCAGGGATGCTGCCACCGGCCGCGCAGCATCTAGTATGAGAGTCCACAGTAAGGGAGCTGTCACTCTGGGAGAATATCCTGTCGAATGTCTGTAGTGTACTAGCTGTGGAGTCCACTCTCAATTACTGAATTCTATTTTAAGTTCTATGCATGTTTCGGGAGACATTGCTGACCAGATTTCAAGGCTGTTATTAAACCAATCCTGCAAAAGCTTTCATTGTTTTGTGGGGCATCAACATTTCCGCCGTGTCCCCACCTCAGCTTGACCCATCACAGGTTAGATGTGGGGGAACACTTGCTGCTTCTCTCTTAAGACTGACCCGTCTGAGCGGGGATGGGGAGTGAGGGCCATCGCAGAGGCGTTGGAGGCGCTGCGAGCTCTGTCTGCGGGGCGTTAAGGCACGCAGGCTTTCCTTTCCCCCGAATCTGAGAGCCAGCTCCGAGCTCCCTGTCTGTTGCCAGCATTCCTGGTACTCTTGCCTTCTAACTCCCATCTTGATCATGAAATGAGCCCTCTGGTGGTCTTTCAGCTACTGTGTGCAGTTTGTTCATCCTAACACACCCTTTTACTCTAATTTCTTATCTCATTCCCTTTTAAGACAAAGTCCCTCACCTGTAAAGACTTACTGAGCACCAAGCTCTTGTAATAGCACTATGTCTGTGAACAAACCTGGAAATAAAGTCCCTCGAACGGAGTTGAGGTGGGTGAGGGAAGATCAGGGAAATGGCCATGTCCGCTCTGGGTGGGGGGCAGTGGCGGTGCACTACCAGGGACTGAGAAGACTCTTCTGGGGTTCCTGTTCTCCAAGGAGAGGCGATGTGGCTGGGGACCAGGAGTGGGGAAGTTTGAAATCTGCGTGTGATCAGGAGCCTCCAAGCGTGTGTCCGAGGAATGTAGAAGGATGTCCTTACCGGCCGGATAGGCCAAGGATGCCACTTTGCATCTTTCCTAAGAGAAAGCGGGGGAACCCACTGCTAGAAGACACACCCTTCTTCCTCAGTAGTTTCTCCGTTTCATAGCAATGACATTTCTAGCAGACGTTTCATTGGCAACGTCCCTGTACCTAACCAAAGTGTAGGGGTTGCGACTTGTTTGCCTGTTTCCTGTAACCACTCCACTGCATATGACACACATTGTCTGTAGATGGCTGAGCCTACACAGTTATTTTTAATAAAATGTATCTTTTCTTCCAGCATGCTTTTCACTTCCACTGCATCTCTCGCTGGCTCAAAACACGACAGGTGTGTCCGCTGGACAACAGAGAGTGGGAATTCCAAAAGTAGGTATCTGGCGGCTTTGCTCTTGTAAGACTGGGCTTTAGTCAGTGCCCTTCTTTGTCTCTTCTCGCGCTAAAGGTGCCTCGTCTTAAAACATGGCGCATGGAACATACCTTGTTTATAAACTAGCTTCTGTTTAATTAAGGACTCGTTTATGTGGAAACTGCACAAAGGTATGGTCAGCGTTAAAGTTTGCAACCTAGAGGTTCCCGACTTCTAGGGTCTATGAAAGTACAAAATAAGAGAATCTGCAAACTATTCATTTACGTATTTTCAAAACCACGTCAGTGATTGGGCTCCAGGGGCCAGCTGTCAGGCATCTTTGTTTTAGACAGAGTCATGGCCACCTATCCTGTCTCTTTGGTTTATCTCATGCTGATTAATTCTGAGGTAGCATTTATGGCTACCTCAACTAAATTACTATTATGTAAGTAAAACATGGTGTGGTAAAATTTTAACACTTCAGATGCTCAAGAGAATAGGCCACAAAAATGAGTCTCCCTTGTTAGTTTTCTAGTCTCACCTCTGGAGGTAACGTCAGCACGAGCCTCTTAGCTTTCCTGACTGGCTCCATATATGGGCTTGTATGTATCTGGGTGGATATATATATATACACATTTTTTTTTTTAGCATACATATGAGCATCTTATATAATAATTTATTTTGCTTTTTTGTTTCATTTTGGAGATTTTTCCATATCCATACTTATAGAACTACCTAGTTTCAAATAGTTGCAGAGTATGTTTTCATATAGATGTACTGTGATTTATTTAATCAATCCTTATTGATAAACACTTAGGTTGCCAGTTTTTCACTGTTAGAAACAATGTGTAGGGATGAACATCTTTATACATGTATCTTTGTGTATATGTGCAAGTAGTATATGTCTGAAGCAGTAATTCCTAAAGGAGGAATTTCTGGGTAAGGAATAAGTACATTTTTATTTTTGATAGTATCAGATTTTCCTTTCCTAAGAATGTGTGCTAAATTGCACTCCCTCTAAACAGTGCATATACAGCCATATACATACAAGTACATACATGGAGATAACCAGGAAAGCTAAGAAGCTCTTGCTGGTGGCTACCTCCAGGAGTGACTAAAGTGGGGGGCTCATTTTCCATCTTACCTACTCTTAATAGCTGAAAAGTGGTATTCAATTGCATTTTGAAAGTTTTAAGTGAGGTTGAGCTTTTTGTGTTTTTATGCCTCATATTTTTCTGTGAAATGCCCTTTTTCTATTAAATTATTGGTCATTTTCTTTATCAGGTTTTTTATGAGAATGGGGATTTTTATTTAAATGTGAATTTTGATTAATAGACTATAATGTGTTTTAAAAACAAAAAATAGGGTTTACTTTGTTGTGTTTAGAAGTCCCTTATTGGTACAGTTATTTTGCTTTTAGACTTGGTTATTTACTTAGGTAAAGAGTTTTGGAGGTCATATCAAACACGTGTTCATTTTTAAGAAACCTGCCAAATACTCAGTGTCTGACTCTTAACCACTGCACTCTATTCAGCAAAGTGTATGCTGAGCAATGTGTAAGATAAGAAAATGGACAAGACAGTCCTCCCCTGTTTGGGGAGCTGCGTTCCAAGTGCCAGCCATCATGGGGATACGTATCAAGGCAGAAGCACTTCCCTGCATTCTCGAGTGGACTCTGTGACTTGCCCTTTCTTAGAGCTGGCTCAGGATTCTATTTTGGACCAAAATGTCTCATGTAGCCCCTTGCATATGCCCGGGTTTGAGCCTAAGAAGTGGGGAGTGTGAAGAATTCCTCCTGTTGGGCTCTGACACTGCCACTTCACGCAGCCAGTGACTTTGCCAGACAGTGGTTTTCAGTGCATTGGGAAAACAAATCCGTGAGGAACAAATTATAGAATCCTTTTAATCTGACAGGCAATTCCTGGGTTGTTCTCCAGTTCACTTACAAACACAAGAGCTCTACCTTATGGAGTTTGGCACAACTTTTTTTAGACAGTATTCAAGGGATTTCTTACGAAAAGTGCTTATCTTGTTGATAGACCTAGTAGTCCTTGCGGAGGATTGAAGCAGTGGTCCAGAGTTCTAGTGCCCCGGTTCTCCTCCGTATAACGAAGTGTTTTACCCAGAGGCTAACTGCCCCAAAAGAACCAGGACAAAAAATTAAGTAAGATAATGAAGAATTTTGTGTTGAAGAAATCCATTTATATGAGAAAGAAATTCCCTGGCCTTGTTTACTTTTATAATCTTGTTAGAGCCAAATTTTGGCTTCTGGGGAAATCAGAAAACACTTGAAATCCATGCTTAGTTTTTTCTGCACTTTCGGTAGTTTTGCTCTTTTTGTAGTGCTAAATGCGGTCAGAGCCATAATGGCAACTGGTGATAGATTTTGAAAATGAAGGCTGTTCTAGTACTATTCTCTGTACTTGCCTTACTCCAAACTTGCCTAAGTACTGGAGTAGACGTGAAAAAAGGTAGGGAGAGGTCAAGAGCTCAAGTTGTCAGAGCCACTGACTGGAGCCCGTAGGTGGAGTTCCCTGTTGCAGCCACCAGCTCCGACTTCTTCCTCTTACCTCCCTGGTACTGCCCAGCATCTGTCTGGTAACTGGGAGGAGAGGCAGGTGGATATGGTTGAGTCCCAGGGAGGGACCTTCTCTACAGGGGTTGGGACCACAGTAGATAAGATATTTCAGAGGATGATGCGACAAGGGGCAGAGACCAGTGTCATAACCCAATCTTGGAGCACACTTATACATCTCTTTAAAGTTTTAATCAAATGTGCTCATATGTTTAAGCAGGTTTTATAGTCTCAAAACAGGAAATTACTAAGGAATTAATGAAGTAATTTACTTTGTCTTTCAGGTATGGGCACTAGAAAAAGAATATTTTTCCATCAAGCTCAACTGTTCTGTTATTCATTTAATGACTTGCCCTCCTGTTACTTAATTATAAGTTAGATAGAACCGTGTCTTTTCTGCTTTGTCTTTTCAGTTTGCTAATCTGCAGTCCTATTGTGTTCTGTGTCGAATAAAATCCAGTTGGATTCTAGAACAGATGCTGTCTCTTGTGTATGTGAAAAAAAGTGAACATAAATAAAGGGTCCCCTCTTCCTAGATAGGAAAGCCAGCTTGTGAAAATGAGACGTTTGTTCATAAGAGCCAGAGCAGAGGTGTCCTGCGAGCGCGTCACTCAGTCACAAGGCTTCTGCCCACAGCCCGATTACTGATGGCAGTCATGGGCAAGTCACTTCTGCTCCAGGTGGCTCCTTAGGACTCAGTGGCATCATGTGGGCCCAGGAAGAGGCTTTGTAAACTCTAAAAGCACTATACAAATGTTACCTTGGTATATGATATGTTGCTTTCTCTTAATTTAGAAAAGTAAATGTGAAAAAAAACTTAGTAATTTTTGCTGGCAAAAGAATAATTTATAAACTCAAGTTTAAAATTTGTGTCACTTAAAATTGAATTAACAAGAGAATTCAAGTTTCTTCCACCCACCACTCTTTGAAATTTGTTTCAACTGCGTTGGCCGTGGTGGACCTGCCCAGCGGCCGCACAGAGCCTTTGACTGAGAAGCAGTCTGGTTACTGCAGTGGTTCTCAGAGCAGCCTGAGGGCTCCCGGGGCACCGGAAACCCTTTCAGGAGGTTCATGAAGTTCCTTTTCCAACTGCCTGCCTGTTTGAGGGCAGCTTTTCTTTATGTTATTCAATCAAAGCAACATATTGAGTGAAGAAGCAAACATGAGAATTGCAGCTGTCTTCTTTTAAGTCAGATATAGAAGAGATTTTCAAAAATGTAAAACAATGCCACTCATCTAAATTTTTTGTTTTGAAAAATAGTTACTTGTAATAAAAATATTTATGTTAACATGTGATGGGTTTTGGTTGTTTATAAATCTTTCAAATGTCTTGGTTTTTATTTCTATTATGATAACTATCAGATAGAGATATAGCCCATACAAAAAAAATTCTGTAAGGTGTACAATTTTTAAAGTCATAAAAGGATCCTGAGGCTAAAAAGTTTGAAAACCTCTAGCTTAGTAATAAAGAACTTTAAATCTTAATAAACTTGGATCAAACCCAGCTTCCCCACTTAGCTGCTGCACATGCCTGGCACACAGCAAGCACTCACCTGGAGGTAGCTGTTATGGTTGCTGTTATTTTAGGGCTTCTGCCCATGGCAGAAATCCTCTCTTTTAAGCCATGTAGTTGTTTACACTGCATGAATACTTTCAGTAGTGAAAACCACATTACTTTTCACACAGATGATAACATTATGTATTTGAGAATTCTCCGGTATTTATCAGGACTCTTGGTTGCTGAGTACAGAAGTCTAGTCTAGCTCCTGCTTAGGTAAAGAGAACCTTATTGGAGAATGAGGGGCTATGTAATGAAACCGAAGAAAGGACTAGGGATGCAGACCTAGGCATGAGTGGAACCAGGGACTCGCTGCTGGTACTCCCGCTGCTGCCCCTTCACAGAGGCTAACTCCAGAGCGGCAGGAAAACTCGGGGTGCTCACGCCTCTGCCACCTCTCCTTCCACAGCCCCTGCCACGCCAGGCAAAACAAGAGGTGTCTACCTAGAGACTTGCTTGGGAAGATTCTTACATTGAGCCAGGATGTCTCCTCGTAACATACCTAGCCAGTTATCTTTGTGTTGCCTAATGAAACTGGTGGACATAAATCTTCCCTGAGGTACCAGTGGAATTATTTACCGAGTGCCTACTGTGTGCTATATTTAGCTAGAAGATGCGGCAGAGTTAGTGTCTGCCCTCAGATAGCTCCCAGTCTAGGAGAAGATTATGAAGAGAATGAACGAACGAATGAGTGAATGATGGAAGCTAATTGTGGAGACCTTGACAGGGCCCAGACTGGGCTTGCTCTTGACATGGCCACTCCCTCTTGGTTTTCCTTCTGACAGCTGTGCCCTGGAGGAGTTCCTTTTCAGTCTGCCCCTGAAGGTTCTGGTCTCAGTTCTGTTCTCTCTGGAAGACTTTATCCTCCTCACTTGTCATTAGAGCAGTGCCCTGGACCCTCGGATGGGGTCCTGACAGCCGACTGTGCCTCTTCCCAGGTTCGCTTTCAGTAACCTCAGGTTGGTAGCTTGAGAGTGTGTTTACCGCACAGAAACTGAGATGCCACAAACCAGAGTCTTTTCCCTAGAGAGCTTGTTAGTCCTTTACCAGCACACCACTGCATGGTTGTGCTTACTGTCCTTGGTTGTGTGTCTCAGACACTCAAACTCAGCATTTCAAAAATACCTGACCTATGATCATTCTCCGAAAACATAACCCTCCCGGGTGACCTAGCCTGGTTAATGGCATTGTCACTCATCCAATTCCTGAGGCCACAGGCATTCACAAGGCATTTTAGATACTCTCCTTTCCCTCTGCGCCTAATTAATCGTTAACCTCTATTCAGTCTCCTGTTGTGCTCTCCCTAAAATCTGTCCTCTTCTCCATTCCCACTGCCAGTGACAGGGCCCAGCCCTCTTCTTTTTTCTCGAAGAAGGTTGAATTCCTTGACTGGCCACACTGCTGTTAGTCTCCTTGCTATATCCTGAAGTGAGTTTTTAATTTGGTCTGATGCCCCTTCCACTGGTTGAGAAATCCCCCACCTTGATGGAGGTGGCATTCGTTGCCCACCATAGACCTTGGACGTGCTTATCCTGGCTCTCCAGCTCCCTTGCAGCTGCAGCAAGGTGGGTCACCTAATCATCAATTAGAGACACTCACCCTGCCGTCCATTATAACTGTGGGCAGCAGCACTGGCAGCACCCAAGGCCCAGTGCAGGTGGCAAAATGGGTTATGACAGCACCAATAGCCAACGCCTTCTTGGACTAGTTTTGTGGCATTGTTTTGGCTGTGGTCCCAGGGGCTGCCCGTTTTCTGAGCCTGATTCTCCAACAGCTGCCATGAGCTCTCCAATGTCCCTTTAATACGCACTCCGCTATGAAAATCGCCCAGCTCTCTGGAGTGCAATCCCCACCCCCTATATACTGGGCCCGCACCCTGCTCTGCAGAACCTCACACAGCCTGCAATGTCACGGCATACCCCTCATTTCTGCCCATGTCTTTCCAGCTTTGCATGAATTCCTCAACCCCTTGGCAGAGCTAACCTCAGTTTGGAGAGCTTGGCCTGATCACTTTAAATATTCGCATCATTACCTAAATAACTTAAAGAGCCTGTCCCTGGCTTCTCATTTAACTTAAAGTTGAAACTTCTCACCTGGGCCAACATCTCCAGGCCAGCTGGCCCCTGCCTTCCTTCCTGATCTAATCTAAGGATGTCATTCCCTCTGGTGTTCACAGAACTCCAAACACCCTGGAGGAGGTCGGCACCTGCCCGTGGCCTTGGCCTAGGACTGCCCCCATATCTCCAAATACATTAACTGCCATCTCCCCAAGGAGGACTTCTTTGCCACCCTGTGAAAATGGCCATCCGGTTCACTTTGTCACATCAGTCCATTTTCCTGTCTACAAAACACTTATCGCTACCTAAATTGTCTTGGTCACTTAAGTGATTACTTGCTTACAGTCTGTCTACCCTTCTAACTCCGAAGCTCCAGGAGAGCAAAAACTTCCTCTGTCCTATTTGCCTCTTAATCTTTAGCACCTACCGCTGAGCCTTCATTGGATTAATAAACAAAGGAATGAACGAACAAATGGCCCTTGCTTTTATTTCGTTCACACCTGCCAAGCCAACTCTCTGATCAGAATTGGATGGTCCGCCAGGAAGGAGTACTAAACTGGTGGTGTACATGTAAGTATTATTTCTCTGTAATAGTGGTGGTTCACTTTGAAATTATTTTTGTGTTATATGAGCCTAAGAGCTTGGTTGTTATTGTTAATGTTTATTTTGATCATGATTTACTATTTATTGACTGTCACTGATGTGCCAGCCATCAATGGGAACTTTCACATCCCCTTTGTCTTCACCAAAATAGACTCCATAAGATGAGTGCTGTTCTTGCCCCATGTTGCAGATCAGGAAACAGGCTCAGAGCTGGAGTGACTGTAAAGTCTCGTTGTAGGGAATGGTGGGAGCAAACTTGGAATCGGGGTCATCCTGACTCCTGCTCCTCCCTGGGCACAGGGTGGACACCAGGTCCTCTCCCCTCCCCACCCAGAGAATTCGGCTCGCCCACTCTTTGGTGACAATGGTTCCAGCTCACCCTACCTGTGCAGAGGCTTACCCACCCTGCAGGGCCATTGCCCATGAACCAGAGGAGGCAGTCTTTTCAGTTTACTGTGGCCAGATCTTCTGATTTTAGCTTTTCTCTTCAAAAGAAATGAATTTTAGAGAAGAAGGAGTAAAGGTATCACCTATTGTTTTTTGTTTGTTTGCTTTGTTTTGTTTTGTTTTTTAGAAGCCCAGTTCTTAATATATTAAAGGTCAGAGTTGAGTGTACAAATCAATAATAATAATGGTCTTCATTAAATTGAGGCTGGAGGAACAGCCAGGTTCCCTGATTAATAAAGAGCCTTGACATTTGTATAGCCCTTAACTATTTACAAAGGGCTTTCACTCCCTCCTCTCATTTTCCCCTCAGAGAGGCAGTGAGGTGGAGAGGAGGTGACCTGGGAAGGAGATATACCTGGGGCCAGGTCCCAGCCCACCACAGTGGAGCCATGTGACCTTGGGCAGGTCACTCAATCTGAGTCCTTCATCTGTTTTTTATTTTCTTTAAAGATTTTATTTATTTTTAGAGAGGGGAAGGGAGAGAGAGAGAGAGAGGGAGAGAAACATCAATGTGTGGTTGCATCTCGCACACCCCCTACTGGGGACCTGGCCTGCAACCCTGGCCCTGCACTTCGGAATCAAACTGGCGACCCTTTGGTTTGCAGGCAGTGCTCAATTCACTGAGCCACACCAGCCAGGGCTGTTTTTTATTTTAAATTATCATGCAATAAACTTGACTTTTAAAAACATCTTGGCAAATAGTTTTGTGAATTTTAACAGAATACAGATTATTATAATCACCACAATCAGAGTACAGAGCAGGCCCACCTCCCCAGATATTTCCCTTGTGCTATCTCTTTACAAACACATTTTCCCAACTCTAAGCCCTGACAACCACTGATCTCTTCTCCATCCCTATAGGGTTTGTCTTTTCGAGAATGTCATATAATGGAATCAGACTGTATGTCACCTTTTGAGATTGGCTTCTTTCATTTAACAAAATTTGTCGTGTGTATGAATAGTTCACTCCATTTTATTTCATCATGTGGGTGACCACAAGTTGCTTATCCATTCATCTGTTGAAGGACATTTGGGATGTTCCCATGTTTTGAATCTCTTGTTTGTGGTGTTGTTTGGTTTTGGTTTTTACAAGTTTCTTTTTAATGGTGGTAAAATAGTTATAATATAAAATTTACCATTTAAAGTGTACAATTCAGTAGCATTAAGTATTACATTTAAAAAGTTGTATAACCATCACCAACTATTTTCAGAACTTTTTCATCGCAAACAGATACTCTCTACCTGTTAGACAATAACTCCCCACCTCTCCCCACCCCCACCACAACCCCTGGTAACCTCTATTATTTCTGTCTCTATGAATTTCCCTATTCTAGGGACCTCGTTTAAGTGGAATCATACAATATTTGTCCTTTTGTGTCTGACTTCCTTCACTTAGCATAACATTTTAAGGATTCATCCATGTTGTAACATGTGTCAGAATTTCATTTCTTTTCAGACTGAATAGTATCCCACTGTATGTCCCACATTTAGTCTGTGCGTTCATCTGACAATGGGTCCTTGGGTGTTCCCACCTTTCATCTATCATGAATACTTCCGCAATGAACATAATGTGTACAAATATCTCTTTGAGATT